GCGGGAGCCGGGTCGGACCAGGACCGGGTGAAGCGCCCCATGAACGCCTTCATGGTGTGGTCGCGGGGCCAGCGGCGGAAGATGGCCCAGGAGAACCCCAAGATGCACAACTCGGAGATCAGCAAGCGCCTCGGGGCCGACTGGAAGCTGCTGAGCGACGCCGAGAAGCGGCCCTTCATCGACGAGGCCAAGCGGCTGCGGGCCGTGCACATGAAGGAGTATCCGGATTACAAATACCGGCCCCGAAGGAAGACCAAGACCTTGCTGAAGAAGGACAAATACTCACTGCCCGGCAATCTGCTGGCCCCGGGGGGGGGCAACGCGGTGAGCAGCCCCGTCGGGGTGGGGCAGAGGATTGACACTTATGCCCACATGAACGGCTGGACCAACGGGGCTTACTCGCTGATGCAAGACCAGCTGGGCTACAGCCAGCACCCGGGCATGAACAGCCCCCAGCTGCAGCAGATGCACCGCTACGACATGACAGGCCTGCAGTACAGTCCCATGATGTCCTCGGCCCAGACCTACATGAACGCCGCCTCCACCTACAGCATGTCCCCCGCCGCCTACGGCCAGCAGCCCTCCACGGCCATGAGCCTGGGCTCCATGGGCTCGGTGGTGAAATCGGAGCCCAGCTCGCCGCCTCCCGCCATCACTTCCCACTCGCAGAGGGCCTGCCTGGGAGACCTGCGGGATATGATCAGCATGTACCTGCCCCCGGGGGGGGATGCCACAGACCCTTCCGCCCTGCAGGGCAGCCGGTTGCACAGCGTCCACCAGCACTACCAGAGTGCCGGGACTGGCGTGAATGGTACCGTACCACTAACTCACATATAAACTTGGCTGCTCCGGACGGCTCCCCGTCTTAATCCCTAACCCCACCACCGCGCCCTGGCTCCACCGGGACGTACGGCAGTGTTGCTCGTCTTAGCAGACTTAATACTAACTTTGGAGAAATTTTAAAAAGGAAATCCGTTAGTCGTGTCCTTTTTTTTTTTTTTTTTGTACAACCCCCCCCATTCGAGCAAGCTGTTATTTTAATAGATCACAACTCCTGCCTCCTAGAAGCCGCTGTGAAGTTTTTTAAACCACGGCAACTTCTTTCCTCGTTTCTGCTAGATTGGGCACTGTTCTATTCACTTAAAAGTTTTTAAAATATCTTGCATCTTCCAGTTTGATTTCTAGCGTTGCAATGAGATAAAAAAGAAAAACCGGCGGGCTTTTGTTTTTTAAACTCCGTTGTTCACATTACGTTGTGGTTTCTTAAGTGTTTTGTTCTTCCCACCTTACCGAGCCTCGCTTGGTTTCTATCCACAATCTGTAGCTTTCACGTCTTTTTAACTTTAGGGTTTTGTTCTTTAAAAAAAGGGGGAGGTGGGAGAGAGCTGTGCGGGTCGCAAACGCATTTCTTTTATTTATAGTAAGTTGTGTGTCTTGTTTTTTCTTAAGCTTTAAAATTATGTAAATTGGTTTGTGAATTTTACTGTGAACCATGTTTTGACA